AGTGCTCCACAAGGTGGCTGAGGTCGGTGCTGTATTCCACAAACCCAGAGGCTCTTGGTACCTCCTCCCCTCTTTCTTATACACTTCAGCAGGGGTGTTGATGTATTCATTTTTTGGCTAGTTTGTTGGCAGAGATGCTGGTGGAGGAGGTACCGAGTCAGGGTCTGGTTCTAAGTGGGGAGGCTCATTTCTTGATCTAATTTATAATGAGATATAAAGCTACTGGCCGGCAGACACTAATCTTAATTTATGATCTGTTTAACCTTTTTATTCCTAGCTTCATCTCACCACCCTGGCCTCGGCCTGCACCGGCCTGTGAGGGGAGCGGTGTGGGATCCTGGAGCTGGATGTGGGGGTGTGGTGCGCGGGGCTCCTTCTTGCCTGCTGTGAGCCGCTGCCTGCCTCTGTCCTGGCGCTGGGGCCCACTCTGCTGCCGTCCACAGCCAGGGGTGAGGGCGTCGCGGGGGCTTCACGCCGCCCCTCGTCTCCCTGGTTTCTGAACTGCCGGGCTTGGGTCAGAAGGGAGCCTGCATGTAGACAGGTGGCGGTGGAATTGGTTTTTGTGTGACTTTCACCCTGGTAGAAGAGGAGAGCCTTGAGGAGAGCTGCCCCTTAGCGCAGGAAGTCTGTGCGTCCACTGCCTCGCGGCTGAGCGTCCGCGCCTCACGTCCAGGGCACAGTGGCCATGTTCGGGATGTCGACTTGGGGGTGGACCACACCCTGCTGTTTCCTTTTTGTCTTCTCCAGTGTTGGGTCTGAAGGCTCGTGGCGCCTCCTCCCCTGCTTCCCGGGTGGACGTACTCATCCCCATGCGGTGATATTAGGCGGCTTTGGGAGATGATTACAGGGAGATTGAGGAAGAAGGTGCCAGCCTTGAGCAAAGGGTTGGTCCTCCTCAGTCCGGGACACTGGTCCTCCTCCAGCCAGGAAGCTGGTCCTCCTTGAGCTGGGACACTGGTCCTCCTCACACAGCGATCTCCTCTGTGATTTTGGACACCCTACCTCCAGAGCTATGAGGATGAGTTTTGGTGGTTCGCGCACCACCTGGCCCAGCGCGACCCACCGGGACGGAGGCACCCTGTCTGCGGCAGTTCCTTTCTTTGCCCTTGTGAAGGACCTGGCGGTCACTGTGTGGACCGCCTCTCCCGTGGCTGGCCAGTGCCACCTCACGCCACACACAGCAGTGCGTGCCCTCTCAGGCGCCTGGCACGGGTGCATGCCAGCGTCTGTCACTAGCACTGCTGCTCATCCTGGTCCCCGCGGCTCTGTCCCGTCTCCAGCGCTAACGTGAGACCCTCCCTGGTGGCTGCCGTTCTGGTACAGCTCGTTGGCGTTTTGTGTTGCCCTCACGCCCTCCTCTCTCTGGAGGCGTGCTGTCCCTTCCCTTCCATTTATTTAATTACTCCGTGAAGTCTGTTGGCATGGACTCAGGGGTGCTAACTTTGTGGGGTCCACCGTGCGGACCTGCCTGCACACATGCATGGTGACCAGTGTGTGTACATGCAGTGGTCTTTCTTCCCCCGTCTGTCATCTGCATGCATGTTGGTGGACACAAGTTCACCTTCAATTCCTCTCATTTCCAGAAGTTTCTGGGTTCTGGCCTCTGCCCTTTTCCTATCTGTTGGTCTCTTTGCCATTGGGAAACTGGTTCTGTCAACCTGCAGATGCTCACTTCCATCACGGCCTCTTTTAAACGGCTGCCAGTGTCCTTGTGTTCTGGTCTCTCGATGTAGATGGCTTCGTGGGCAGAGCTCTGCTGTGAGGAGGGGCATCTCCTGTGCTTGCGAGTGAAAGACTTCAGCCTGGTTAGAAGCACAGAGTTGACATATGGACTAAAATAGACAGGAAATGAAGTCATTTTGTTTTTAAAATCGATGGCATGTTTCCAAATAGATATACCAACTAATTAGCGTATTTCTCAACTCCCTGAATGTTGCATGTTGAGATCATGTAAAGATAAAGCAATGAAGGTCCTCCAGTTATTTTTATCTCAACAGTAATTATTTCTCATCACATTCTCTATTTAGGATTTTTTCTTATTCTTTAACCTGTTTTAATTTCTTATTCTCATTTCTGTGGATTTTATACTGTTTTGTGATTCACTATGGCCTTCAATGTCTTTGCCATGAACAGAAATTTTGAAATGACATTAAATTGGCATCCCCTCTGGTCCTCCTGCAGTGTAGCATGGCCAGTGAGAGGTCTCCAGTTTTATCCTACTGATACTGTCTGTGTTGAGCAGACCCTTAGCATCAGACTCCAGCTTCCTAGGGTTTCTGCTGGCATTAAGTTTGCTGGTGGACGGGACTGTGATCCTTAGCTGAGGAAAACACAAACTCCCTGCCCATTTTTCTCGGGCAGGAAGACTGCTATTTGGTGGATGTACTTATCAAATGACTAGGTCTTGCCTTTGGAAACTGTGGAAAAATAATTTGGAGTTAATTGTCCTGAAAATTTACTCATTGCATATTAATAGGTTAGGTATTCCCTAATTCATTCTTCCTGAAGCATATCTTCATTTTTCTGAGCCTCTTTTTGGCACAAACCTTCAAGTCTGAACCAATATGACAAATCTGAGGGCTGGAAAAAGGCCTAAAGATTGGATTTGTGAAGCCCCTCAGGCTGTGTGGGAGAGGGGCGCGCGTGCTCAGAAGACCTCTCCTGGCTCCCTGTCTCGGGTGGCCTTGCTCACGCTGAGGAGGCCTGAGCTTTGCGGAGACCCCCGAGGTCACACCCTGGCTGCCTGTGGAGCTGTCCTCTAGAGCTGTCCAGAGGACAGAGACACGGTGGCGAAGAGGCTGGCCTCTGCCGCTCCCATCCCAGGTCTCATTGTAGCATCTTCTATCTTGTCGTAGAAATGCAACCAAATGAGTTGCTGTTTTAGCCGGCTTCCTCACCCGCAGGCTTGGGTCATGTCGGCGCCTCTCGATGTCATCAGTGCTCGAAATGTTCACCATGCGACATCCTGCGTTCACTGTTGCCTTGCTCAGACAGTTTGGTGGTTCTGATTGGTTTGATTCTATTTCACTGACACCTATCATATCCCTTCAAGACGCAGCATAATTATAGAGCGTTGGAGATAAGCTAACATTACAGCAGTGAGTTTAGTGGCTTTGGGCCAGCCAACTCCCGGTGGCAGGTCTACCTGATGTTCTTGGAGGCACTGAGAACACCCCTGCACCCCTTTGTGAACCCGCGGTTCTTCCTGGCTCTCAGCTGTACCCTAGCAGGTGACTTGGGAGCATTTTCTCCAGCCTGTGCTTATAAACAGTGGGGCCTTTGAGCAGAACTTTGTTCTTGTCCTCATTGGCTCAGAGTGGCTGCTGCTTCTCCACTCTGAGCTCTGATTTCTCCCAGCTGGGCCTTGTCTCTGTTGAGGTGGGGAGGGACCCCTTGGATTTCTCCAGCTGAAGGATGCCTCCCCCCCATGCCCTGTGTGGAGGGACAGCGGCTGTCACTTTGAAACTGAGAAAGTACTGTTCGTCCCCTCGGGGAGCTGAGAGTCTACTTTGCAGGGTTTGGAATTGTGCTGAGGATGGCTCTCGAGATAACCTCACCACGCCTCTCGGCCTCAGATGGATTGTTAACCCCTTTAGTGGCTGGGGCTGTCCTGCTTTGTTCTTCCGGCGTTTGCTGCTTGCTGCCAGCTTTATGGATTTATGCATTTATCAGCACTACCCAGTTGCTTCGCATCCATTCCTCCACCCTCATGTCTCCGTTTAAGATTATCACGAGCTCTTCTTCCTGAATCACCAGTTGGCAGGTGATGGTTGTGATGCGGCCATCACGTGTATCATTCACCACCCTGGTGTCTTGTCCGTTCGTGGTTCCCGTGGGGCTTTGTTTTTCGTAGTCTTGCCGTGCAGTGCAAGCTGGCCTTGAATTCCTGATCCTCCTGCCTCTGTCCTTCTACACCAGGCCCAGCCTGAAGTGGTTTTAACATGGCAGTGTGTGGCATCGATGTCTGGCACACCTGGGAGGTGCTGGGCACCACCTGTTCAGGTCTGCTTTCCTGGACATGCAGGGGCCACAGCGACAGCGCCCCCTGCAGGGGGGTGCAGGCTCTGCCTCGCCTCGGCCAGTGCAGTACGTACGAGCTGAAGCGGCCTGTGGGCTTTGTGGCGGGAGCATGTAAGTGTGGGTTTTTTCCATGCCTCTTCTCCCCTGGCACTGCCCTGGCATCCACCCAGAGGGAGAGGCCACAGATGGAACAAGCTGTAACCACATGGAGGCTGTGTGCTGGAGGCTTGCTCCAAATGGAGGCCCTGTGCTGGAGGTTAGTCCCACATGGAGGCCGTGTACTAGAGGCTAGCCCAGGCCTGTAGTGGCTTATAGTGGGCTTTGTGGCGGTGGAACACGGTAGCCCTGTCTGCCTGATTCAGCCAGACCCTGTCTGTGCCCAGGAGAGGGCTGGGAACCCTCTGTGCTGTGTCCTCGGGCCGGTTCTAGATTTCCCCATCTGCTTTCTCTTCTATAGAAACCTTGATCTGTACCAGGTCAGCTGTGAGGCATGGGTGTGGCAAGGTATGTAAAGCACTAGCCCCGACACAGACCTGGGCAGCCAACAAACCCCACCTTCCCCAGCTGGATGTTAATTCCCCACTGGCCTGAGGTCACTTGCCCAGGGGTGCAGGAGCCTTCTTGTTCTGGGGCACTTGCTTTTGCACACAAAGGACATAAATGATCACATAGTTACTTCATCGGGCCTGGGCTGTGATGGGGCATTTGTCCTTCCCTGAGGACAGCGTGGCCCAGGACCCGGGCAGTGAGGACAGGCCAGCTCTCTGCCGCAACTCCCCCCTCCCCCTTTATTCTTTCCCTTCAAATCACGTGGCACTCTTTATGTTTTTAAGCAGTAGACATAGGGTCAAACACAAGGCGTCGAGAAGCAGATGCCGGGCTGGGAGGGGTGGGCAGCCTCTCTGGTGGCCACACAGACCCCGGATGTTTCTGCTTCCTCTTTTCTCACGCTGGGTTGCAAAGCAGCATAAAAACACAGGCAGTCCAGAGCTGTACTTCTTCTTTTTATGATCCCACTCCATATTTCATTTATATTTAAAAGCGCATTGATGAATATGAATACAGATCTTTAGAGTTACTGTGAAGTCATATTTGTTTATGTGCGCAGTCCTGTTTCCAGCCGGTATCTTATCGTCTAAAAGGGAGCGCGGCTCATGATCTGCCCACTCTACTTGGACTTTCTTTTTTTATTATTATCCTCCAGCTTCTGTTCTCCAGGTATGTAGCTGTTTTAGTATGATGGAGAATGATGGATGATTGCGGGAAAGTTTCTCTGGAAGCACTTCAGATATTGTGCAATGCACTTGGGGTCAGCCGTGCTTGAGTGACGCATGATTCATCCCGGGCCGGCCACTCGCAGAGATAAAGCTGCTGCTTTATCAAAAATGCCAGCCACTGTGATTTAGAATTTATAAACCTCCGTTTTCAAGTAATTGTTCTGATGACTTTCTGCTTTGGCAATAAAATGATAAAGGTAATTGCACACCAGTGTGAGGTAGCACCAAAATACAATAAAATTACCCTGAATTAGCTTGACTTGTCGATGAGAGGTATTTATGAAATGTGTTGTTGCAATAAGCCCCAGCGATATTATGGCTGGAAGGTGAGTTATTGCCTTAATGTAATACTCTTTGAAATTTAAAAAAGAGACTGTTTCTATGGAAGGTGATTGTGCTTTTGAAATTAAGTTGAAGTGATTCTTATAATTGGCAACAATAATGCGTTTTGAAGGTAATATCTTTTATTGTGTTATGCCTAGTCGCATTACCTTTTATTTAGCAGCTTCTGCTTCAGCCTTTCCAACGCTCAGGTAGAAATTGACTCGGACTCTGTCGGAGGCGATGACTTGGGGGGCTATTCTCTCGGGAGCAGTGCCCCTTGGGTGGATGGTACAGGCTTTAAAAAATATATATATATACATATATATAATTTATAAAGCCATTTAGATAGGAGGCTAAATATTAAGAGTTAATTTTTAAAAGGGCTAAGGAAGGCTTTTGGAAAACTGTTTTGTTTCCTATCTTTCAGTGTGTGTGTGTGAGGGATTCTTTCCTCAGCTAGTCAGCTGTCAACAATGTCAGAGCTGGTTCTCCTTTTTAAACACGTGTGTTTCATAACTTTCCCTTTATATCCTTGAAATTCATGGATAACATCTACCTATACAGACTCTTTAATTAAAAGAACAACAACAAAAAAGCTTGTGGGAAGAGAAGAGCAGTGATTTATAACAGAGCCTATTGTAAGAGGAGGGCTTGGGCAGGGTCGAGCCCAGAGAGGTGCCACAGTGACCTGGTGTGGGTACTGACCGCTAGGCTGCCCAGGGAGGTGATCTGTCCGGGGGACACACATCATCTCACCTGACACATAACATAACTCAGCCACCGTGGTGGTCTGACAAGTTTTCTGCCAACTTTAAAGGAAATGAGGTCTATCTTTCTGCTGAGTTATGGCCCAGTTCCTGGAAAGCCTTGTGAGTCGTAAAAGTGGGGGGGAAAAACCTACAAATGATTCTGTGTATTTTAATGTGAAGTGGAGTCATGCTTTAGGATTTAATTAATTTTAGACTGGAATGTGTTGCAGGCATTTGGAAGTGAGGGTACAGGATAATAGGATAGAGGACTTCCCTATCCACATTCCAGAACATTCCTATTCCTGCCATTGACATGTTAATAGCTTCCACACTCTCTATGATGAACAGAAACCCCTCTGCGTTTCCAGAACACTCAGGCAGAGATGGGCTGAGGAGAGGAGCTCCATACCACCGGGATATACGCACAATGGAGCTTGCTTTCCCGGTGCCTCCTGATCTGTGTTGACCCCAGGAAGCCTGGGGTCAGCCTCAGCTCAAGCCAGGCCTTGTGTGTGCTAAGCAGACCTTCGACCCCGAGTTACCCCCCAGCACCATCTCTTTGGAAATGGTTAAGCGTAACTTTCTGTCTGTCTCTGATCACTCTACCATCTCAGCTTATGGAGGCTCTGCCACGAGTTTTCCGTGTGTTCTGCTTGTTCTGGCTCCTGGTGTCTTCCTCGCATGTGTACTTGGCTGTCTAACTCTACCAAGCATTGCATTCAAAAGCCCTTTGCTGCTTGTTTATTGTCGGTGAGCAGGACGGGAAGCCGGAGGTTGTCGAGCACGTGTGTGCTCCGGGTTGGATGCTGATGCTGAGCACCCTAACCCTGCTAGGCTTCGTGAGGCGTCAGAGGGCGGTGCCTGGCCTGTGGAATTCTCTGCTCATGGATGTGAGCACCCCACTACCTCAGTGGGTATCACACGGGTGGATCGGTTCTCTCTGGAGACAGTGTTGATGGTCCCAACCAGGGACAATCAAAGTGAGATCGGGAGCAGAGGGGGGCGGGGCCAGGACTGTACCACTCTCAGGAGTCAGCGCCCAGCCCCTCCCTCCTCCTCCCTCACCCCCCTCCCTGCCGCCCTTCTCTCCATGGAACACCCCCCTCTCAGGCAGGGCTCACAGACACCATTTTTGACCTCTCCTCTTTCTTCTGTCTTTTCACCCCTCCATGGCAAAATAATTTTTCAGTTCTGCGGGTCTTTCTGAAGACGGGCGCCTCTCTCCTCCTCTAAAGCTGTGCGGGCCAGGTGTAACAGGCTCCCTGTGCGCCTCACAGCCCCGGTGACCTCTGACCTCTGAGCATCCTCCAGCCCTTGGCTGTCCTGTTCTGCACCGCTGACCCCATCAGACAGTCAAGTCTTCAGCCGGCCCGGCCACGTCCTCCTCATCGGTCTTCTGAACGCTTCTCCATCCGTGTTTCCACTCGGTGTTGGTAGACCTGCACATGCCTCGTTCTCTCTTCGTGACTCTGCATGCTCTGTCCCAACCATTTGAAAAACCTTCTTATCTGCGCCGTCTTCCACCCTGCTCCCTTCTTCCCATCAAGCCTCCTTGGACTGTCATTGGGGACTGCAGTGCAGCGCAGTGGGCCCTGAAGGCATCTCACCATGGGCTCGCCCCGGTCTCCTCCCCATGTTGTCAGTGGGAGGCCCGTCTTCCATCCTGGCTACATTTTTCTATCTCTACAACGAGGTTCTGATACTGCAGTGATTTATGGTTCGATGCTAGAGAGCCAGGTAGAACATCATGTGTGGAATAGGCAGAAAGATATCGGTGAGGCCACGGTGGGAGAATGGCTGCGGAGCATATTGGGAGGGGACTCCTGAGGACAAGGTCAGGATGTGTCTCTGAGGACGAGCGGGAAGATGGCCGCCTGTGAGCACACGGTCAGATGGGGCTGCGAATTATTGCACCGTGAGTTTGAGCCCTCGGGGAAGTGAACTGGGTTCCAGCTCTCCTAGGAGCCTCTGCCTGCTGCCATGTCTGCTCTAATCCTGAGCTCTTCGCTTCTCCCTCTGTGCCCCGGGGGATGCCCCCTTCATGTTTGATCCACATAATGTAGGCATTGGTTGTTAGTCTGTAGGTGGAATATCATGCCGTGTGGGAAAGGCTCAGCTTGGAAGTCCAGGGTCTTTTTGTGTGGATGACGGACAGATGTCCCCGTGGCTTGGTGGTAGCTACGGAGCGTAAGGCCCCGCCCCAGGAAGAAAGCACAACCTTTGGGTGTTATGGAGTCGGGTACATGGCTGGCCCAGGAATGAGCGTTCCGGTGGTTAGAAGGTCCCCTGTTCTGGGGCCAGGGGAGCAAAGTACTGTGAGTGAGTGGACCCAGATGCTGATTTATGACGCACGCCAGTGGAAGCAGGCGCGCAGAGCCTCTGGTGAGTGGACCAAAATGACAAATGGTTTCTGTGCAACTTTTTTATGGTTCCACTTCAATACTGTATTTCTTCCGAGCGCTCCTGTGTTTGCTCGTGTTTTGATTGTGTTAGTTACTTCTGTGATGGAGAAACCTTTCAGTCCTCCAAAATAAACGCGGATCTGCTTTCAATACATTTTATCTGTTAAATTTTAGCAGCGGGGAAACAAGCTTAAAGCTTTTCTTTATATTCTACCAGGTTTTTTAGGGTTTGAATGGAGATAAAACATTTACTAAGCTTCTAGGTTCTGGGTGGTGTATGAAGCCCTATGGCGGGGTGGGGGTACTTTCTAGTTCTGTGAAGTTTGCGCGTTTGAGGCCTCGTCTGCCTTCCTATTCTCCTACCCAGTTGGCCTTTTCTTGAGGGCAGACTCCCTAGTCTTTGTAGTCTGTGGTGGGGCTCAGAATCTCCTCTCGGCCTGCCTTTCCCTGGCTCATTCGTTTCAGAGGCTTCATGCATTCTACCAAGTATCTAAAGGGTACTTTAGCTCTGACCTCAGAATCCCAGTGAGTCACAAGGGCTTGAGAGCCTGTGTTACGCATCGATTCAGATCTGTGATCCCACAGTGATGGTCACCCCTGGTGGCATGCGCAGGCAGCAGGAATCAAAGCCACTGGCCGCCCCTGGTTAGAAGTCTGGGCCTGAGGTTTCTGTCTTCAGGGCTGGCCTGGGCCTGGCAAGCAGAGTATGGCTGTGGTTTAGCACTGCAGAAGTTGAGTTGTAGTCTGCCTTTCAGTGCCGTGAGTGTGAGCGCGTCGGTGATTTCTGTCGATGAGGATGTGAAGGAACAGAGGGCTGAGGTGATGCCACTGCCGAGAAATCTGTGTGCTCTACAAAACGAAATGATCCTGCCATTCCCACCTTAGGTTTATGTCCAACAGGACTGGCATACGCGTTGGTATAATAGCAGCTCCATTCACAGCAGCCAAAAGACAGAAACAGCCAAGTGTTCACTGATGGGTGAACGGATAATGTGGTCTGTCTACAAGCGGTGTACTCTGCAGCCTTGAAAAGGGAGCAGATACCCTTGACACAGTGCAGAGAAGCCTTGAAGACCATGGGCTCGGGAAAGAAACCAACACAGAAAATAAGCTTGAGCCTCCTTCTCTGCAATACCTCAAAGGGGCAGAGAACGCCGTAGGGTGTAAGAACCGGGGCCGCTGTTAGTGGATTCAGCATGGAGGTTTGAAGAAGCAGATGAATAGCAAAGTTTCTTTCTTCTCCACAGCCTGGAGTTTTCTGGTAATCCAAGTTATGTCTGAGAGTAGCACTTCAGACCTGCAGGGTTTCCATCTATGAGTCTGGTTTGAAGAATTCATTCTGCTCTAATCTAGATAAAATGTACCTGCTAAAATATGTAATAACTTGCTCACACTTTTACATTTGTTAGCTCTGAAATACATTGTAATGACAGACTATATCAGTGTGAGAGAAATAATGACATTAC